ATTTTGCTGGTTATAGCCACATTTTTCAATGGAACTGTCTGAAATTCTACACAAGGAGTTCTTTATGTGTATTTTAGCCCCTGAAAGAGAATTGTCTATATAGGTCGATATCGTGATTCATGATTAGAAGAATAAAAAATAATTCCAATTTTGTTTCAAAATTAATATTTGGAGGTGTTCGAAAATATTGCCCATCGACTCCAAAGAGCTTAAAGAATCAAAAATGTCCTCCCATATATTTCTTAATAGCCATGCTCTACTGTATTTAAATTGTTCTGTTCTTTCATTGCATAAATCACTCCACTCGCATTAATATGCAATTGATTTTGCTTCGATCGTAAATTAAATTTCCACTGACAATTCAATGTAAACTGTCTTAAATTGAAAAAAATACCCCTACAAATATGTAAAACATCACTACCTAGCACTCGTCGAACAAATTATGGTAATGACAACTTTTCCATCTAATAATCTAATATGTATGTAGATATGTAGATGTAACCCCCCAAAAAATATGGGACGACATGGATTATAAGAGCCAGTATGGAGTCGTAAAAAAAACCGGAAGGCTTGATTATATCGAGACCAATGGAAGATCGTGTACATACAGGGAGTCTTTCAATAGATTGACTGATCGATTGATTGATGTACGGTCCCCTTCTTATCTTGAGGTAAACATAATTTAACCTCTATTTAAATATATCGCTTTTCAAACCTTTTCTATACCCTCAGCCTTATGGCTAGAGAGGGTATATATCATTTAATATGGCGAAAACTTGCCTCATCGAAATAACGGTTATAGACCCAAGGTCTTATTGGACAAATCCGTTTCAAGACATTTGAAGTCGATCTAGCTATGTTCGTCCGTTCGTCTGTCTGCTTGCCTGACTATAACTCTTGAAGAGAGTATCCGATTAGGTTTAAGTTTGGTATATCGAAATATTATTATCGAACTTATATTAAGTTCGGAGATGGACAATATCGGCCCACTCCTTCTGGTACCTCCCACACAAAATGTCAAAATTTTCAAAGAAAATTATTTACTGCTCAAAAAGAGAAAGGTTAACTCGATTTTGTTCCAACTTTGCGAATCCTAATATTTGTATAAGTGCTTGGTCAGGTGCGAAAATGGGCACTATCTGTCCACTCCATGAAGTACCTCCCCCACAAAGGGTCAACATTTTGAATAATTATAACTTTTATAAAATGGATGATGTAAGAGTCCGATTGTCTTCAAATTACACACATCACAATATTTTTATTGACCCAAGGTCGGGTGTGAAGATGGACTATTTCGGTCCACTCATTCTGGTACCTCCTCCACCAAAGAGTCAAAATTTTGAATATTCATGAAGCTTATAAAACGCCAAATTATTATTCGATTTCATTCAGACTTGCCATATCTCAGTATTTCTTTCAACTCAAGATCTTTTATAAAGATGGTAGAAATCGGACCATTCCTTCTTTTACTTTCACCAAAAAGGGTCAACTTTTTGAATATCCATGACGACCATAAAACGCGAAACTAACAACCGATTCAATTCAGACTTCGAACATCTCAATATTTCCATCAACACAACATCTGTTATAAAGATGATAGAGATCGGACCATTTCTTCTGGTACCTCCCCCACAAAGGGTCAAAGTTTTGAATAACCAAAACAATCATAAAATCCGAAATAAACATCGGATGCTATTCACATTTCACACACCCAATTATTTCTACTAACACAAGATCTGCTGTGAAGATGGTATATTTTGGTTCACTCCTTCTGGTACCTCCCCCACAAAGGGCCAAAGTTTTGAATATTCTTGAAGCTCATAAAACGCGAAATTATTATCCAATTTCATTCAGATTTTGCATATCTTAGAATTTCTATAAACTCAAGATCTTTTATAAAGATGGTGGAGATCGGTCCACTCATTCTGGTACCTCCAACATAAAGGGTCAAAATTTTGAACATCCATAAAGCTCATAAAACGCGATATTAACATACGATCATAAAATCCGAATTATGCCACCGGTTCTCTTCAAATTTCAGACATGCCATTATTTTTACAAACATAACATCTGCTGTGAAGTTGGGATATATCGGTCTACTACTTCTGGTACCTCCCCCACAAAGGGTCAACGTTTTGAATATTCTTGAGGCTCACAAAACGCGAAATTATTATCCAATTTCATTCAGACTTGGTACATCTCAATATTTCCATCAACACAAGATATGTTATAAAGATGGTAGAGATCGGACCATTTCTTCTGGTACCTCCCCGCAAATGGTCAAAGTTTTGAATAAGCAAAACAATCATAAAATCCGAAATAAACATCGGGTTCTCTTCATATTTCACACATCCCATTATTTCCACAAACACAAGATCTGCTGTAAAGATGGGGAAATAACGGTCCACTCCTTCTGGTACCTCACCCACAAAGGGAAAATTAAATTCTTCAGTACGTATATTCCACATATTCCAAAAATTTGCACATATCTCATATAAAGTGTAGGAAGTAGTTGATATAGTCCAAATCTGGCACGTTGTAATATTTTTATCTGTGTAAGGTCAGATACGAATTGGGCAATGTTGTGTAACTGCTCCCCGGAACCTCCCCCATTAAGGATCAACAGTTTGAATAATCATAACGCAAGGATAATATTCTACTTGTTTATTTTTTACTAAGTCTGCAAAGGGGTGTAGGGTATCATTTAGACTTTCTTTACTAGCTTAGCTCTCATTCTATGGTCTGCTAAGTTTTTTTTCGGTAATTTTTGGTGTCACACCGTGTAATTGTGGAATAAGAAGAAATCGTTTAATTGTGGAACTGATTTTAATTTTTTTTTAGAATTTTGGATCATGGATGGAGAGGACTTAACCCGTTATATCAATACATAGCGATTTTGAATTTTTTTATTAAATATAAAAATTTAATAAACCTTAAATTTAAATTTATCTACATTTTTAGAGAATGTAAACACAAAACCCCCATGTTTTTGAGGTCAGTTCCGCACTGCATTTTTATTTTTAAATAAATTTAAAGTTGCTAAATATTTGACAAATAGCTGCATGAAAAAATAAAACAAAAAAAAAATAAACGCTGGTAGTAATGCTATTAAAACTCAATATCCATTGCCACAAAACCTAACACACACACACAAACATTCACAAACATAAACTGGTACTTAATCTTTTCTAGAGTAGTACGAATAGTACGAGCACGAGCAATAAAAAAACACTTGACCTACACTGAGCCGAAACGAAAAACAAAAAAAATAAATATTTAAAAAAAAAAAAAACAAGTAAGCAAAGGCTACAGTCGAGCGGGGCCGACCGTTGAATTTCCTACAACACTATAATAAACCATTCAGTTTATATGGGCGAAATACTCGACAGAATTTCACAAAATATTGTGACAAATAATAAAAGAAAACCATCAGGTTTCGTTCTCTAATTTTCGAATAATAGCAACTTAAACTAATTTGCTCATTTCCAATTTAATGGTAGATGTTGCACGTAAATGGTCTTCCTAGATCTGGAACCAATATTTCCCAAAGACCTATAATCTCTCAGAAGTGGCAAAAAATTAACATTTATTATTGGTTTTTGACTGAAACGCATCTATATGAGATACAGACATTTCTTCAACATATTCTTCAACAAATCAGCGTTAACGAAATAGTCAGAAGTGCGTCTTTCCTGTATTTGTGAATTCTCCAAAAAGTCACTGGAATGGACATTTTCGTATTTTGTCTATAAAAGTTGGCAAACTCCTTCACACATTGAATATTTTTCTATGGCCATCCGAAATTGCTTGGCTTTTGCAATGTGAGGTAACCCCCATTCAAATGTACGTGAGGATTGGGCGATAATTACGACCTGCCGACAATTTTGCAGTTTTTTGGTCCATTTCAACCCCTAAATATATGGCGATCATCTCCAAAAAAAGTAGGCTTCTATTCTGACCCTCATCTTATCCCCATGCAAAATTTCGTAAGGATCGGGCCATAAATGAGATCTGTATATGATATCCTGATATCCTAACTACTTAGTTTTGTTAGCTGTAGAAATATTACCAAATGTTTAATTCAAAATGAAAATATGCCAAAAATATGACAAAATTGAAAAAATATGAGAAAATTTTACAAAATCATTATTTTTATGTTTAGAGAGATATTTTTATGCGATTTTTTAGACGTTTTTTCTTTCCTGCCAAGAGGCCATTCTGAATTAATGAGAACTGTCGAAATCAGTTCAGCCGTTCTCGACATATAAGAGATGTTTCAAGCATATCTTCTATGATAGACAAATATATCGCACATATTTTGCTATATATCCGATTTGTTGGATAATAACATCAATGTAAAGTCAGAAGTAACCTTGTGATGGCTTTGTGATTTCGCCGGGATTTAAAATATTCACGGTTTAATGAAAAATTTTGATTTTTTTCAACACAAAAGATATGGCCTATTTTACCCGCTAAATATTATCCGAAAACCACCCAAATTAGTAGGCTTCTTCCCCGCCCTAAACTCTAGCTACATGCGAAATTTCGCATGTTTAGCTACTGCAAAATCCGACATTTTTTCAGTAATTGGTCCATTTCAACCCCTAAACATTTGGTGATCATCTCCAAAAGCAATAGGGTTCTATTCTGGTCCAAGCCCCACCTACATTCTAAATTTCGTGAAGATCGGGCCATAATTGCGACCTGTAGAGTGATTACAAATTAACATGGACAGACGGACAGACGGACGGACGGACATACATAGCTAGATCGACTCAGCTCGGCGAGCTAGGAAGATCCATATATACTTTCCTATATGGGAAATCAATATTTCGAGGTGTTACATAATTTTTGGCCCAATCAAACTTATAATACCCCCAACACATAATGTTGTAGGGTATAAAAACAAAAGTCATAACAAAATTTATGAACATTTTTCAGTTATGAAAACATTCAGAGGAGGGAAAATTATTCAATGAACAAAAAAAAAATCTACTTACACTACTCCGCTTCGCACAAATGAAAATGCGATTCATCAGCAGCAGATATTGCATAAAAAATGAGGCCTTTGTAAATTGTTCGGTGTTGAATGTTAGGCCGGCTTCGGCTTTGTTCAGCGGCTGTTTTTCATGTGGCATTTCCATGTCGTCCACCGAAGTTGGATGTTTATTGCCACCACCGTCAGCAAGGGCTTTCATTTCCTCCAAAGCTAATTCATCATTAATTACAACCGGTTTGGTGTAATCAAATGCTGGAAAGTTCTTCGTCTTCTTGGACGGATGGACAATGCTACTGCCATCCATCAGTTCAATGTTGAAGGTTTTGGCCAGGTTTTTTCCATTGCCACTCAAATGCGACAAATCGACATTTTCAACTGCAAAGCCAAAAGAAAAAAAAATGAATTAAATAAAATGGCATTAAAATTATGTTGATGTAATTATGTGATTAAACATAGCTGGAGTGTGTGGAGGACATAAACGAACTATTTTTTGTGAATAATAAAAACAAACACTTTTTTATTGTTTTTTTTTTTTTTTAAGTGGATGGAGGTTGTACTCAAATTACTCTTCTGAAATAGGCCTCGTGTATTCGAGAAAATTCGAAAAAAATTAAGACTAACCTCAAAAATTTTAGATTCGTTTCAACAGTTCGAGTTAGTACTCAAAAGTACTCAAAATGTATAATTTTTTCAGTTTTACAGAAATTTTAAAATAAGTTAAAAAGTATCAGTCGGTATTGCCGCCAGAGATATACCCTCAGCCTATGTTCGATTATCTAAATATATTTTGACTAGTGTTAAGGTTATTCAAACGTTTGACCCTCAATGGAGCAGATCCCGAAGGAATGGACCAATATTGCCCATTTCCTATCGGACCCAAAATATGATATAAATATTTCGACAGATGTACCAAGTCTAAATGGAATCGGATGTTAATTTGGCGATTTATGAGCTTCATGGGTACTCAAAATTTCAATATTTTGTGGGGGAGGTACTTAATGGAGTGGACAGATATTGTCCATTTTCACACCTGTCCTAGAACTGACACAAATATTAGGATTCGCAAAGTCGGAGCAAATTCGGATTAGCCTTTCTCTTTCTGTGCAAAAAATTTGTTTTTTTTTTTTTAAATTTCGACCTTTTGTGGGGGAGGTACCAGAAGGAGTGGACCGATATTGTTCATCTTGACACCAGACCTTGGGTTAATATAAATATTGGGATGTGTGAAATTTGAAGACAGTCGGACTCTTACATAACATTTTATGAGAGTTGTAATTATTCAAAATTTTGACCTTTTGTGGGGGAGGTACCAGAAGGAGTGGACCGATATTGCCCATCTCCGAACTCCATCTAAGTTTGACAAAAATATTACGTTGTTGCCAATTTGGACCAAATCGGATACTCCCTTCGAGAGTTATCGTGCGCACCAGCCAGCCAGACGGACGAACGGACATCGCTAGATCGACTCCAAATGTTCTGAAACGGATTTGATCCAAAGAGACCTAGGGTCTAAAACCGTTATTTCGACTAGGCACGTTTTGGCCGTATCAAATGATATATACCCTCTGTAGCCATATGGCTGAGGGTATAAAAACTTCATAGGTCTTGCTAAATTTGCAGACTTTTAAAGTTTAACATATTACCCAAGCTTTTCCTTTTGGAAAATATAATACGAAAATGTTTAACCTTTATACCAAACCGTCTTCAAAATCATTCATTTTGAAATTTAGCGAGGAGAATATTAGTAAAACCAGGGCAGAGTGATACAAAATTAGTACCATTTAGTATCTTCCCAACAATTATTGTACGTATTTGCAACACCGCCATTGGTTCTCAACAGCAGATACCAACAGAGACCTCCAATGTCATATTCCACCTTTGTACATTCACTCAATACCAAATGTACTAACATTTAGTACTTATGGAACAATGATAGTTCGCAAATTCACCTACTTCTCTCAAAACTATATGTCAACAGTGGCTTCCATATCAAATTTCACAATTCCAACTCTATCTTAAGACCCGATCACAAATGCATTACCATACTTTTTATACAGTTATATTACACATGTTCAAAACCACCATAGGCACCAACAGTGGTCTCGATATTAAATTCCAGAATTCCAGCTCTATCCCAACACCCAACGGCACCTCCTTCTCTCAACACCCACAGTGACATCCAAATCAAGTTTCAGGTTTTCTGCTCTATTCCTTCACCAAATACCAAAATAGTACTATTATGTACTTTTCGTACATTGTGTACTATTCCAAAACCATAGACAGCAAAATTAACCTCAATATCAAATTTGATGAATCCAGCCCTACACCTTCACCCAATATCAAATTTAGTACAATTTAGCACTATTCGTACAAATATGGGACGCACTTCCAAAACCAGTTCCATATCTTAATCACAGACAGCAACAGTGACTTCAACATCAAATTTCGGGATTCCAGTTCTATGCATTCACTCAATACCAAATTTAGCACCGTTTAGTACTTTTCGTAAAATTTCAGTACTCATTTGGAAAATTATCCCATATCTCAATATTAGACACCAACAGTTATTGCAACATAAAATTTAATGGTTTCAGCTCTATCCCTTCACCAAATACCAAATTTAGTTCAATTTAGTACTTTTCGAACAACTATAGGACGCATACCCAAAACCACCTCCATATCTTAATCACAGGCGACTATATAAAATTTCGGTATTTCATCTCTATTCCTATAGCCAATACCAAATTTAGTACTTTTCGTATAACTATAAAACAAAAAAATTCCAAATTCACACTCATATCTCAATTCCAGATACCAACAAAGACCTCCGTATCGAATTTGAGGATTACAATCCTACCCCTTCTCCCAATACCTAATTTAGTACCACTTAGTACTTTTGGAACAATAATAGTACACTTTTCCACAACTACCTCCTTAGCTTAACCACAGACAATAACAGTGGCATCTTTATCAAATTCATCAGGATTTAAAAAATATTCCTTCACTCAATACCAAATTCAGTACATTTCGTACAATTATAGTACACAATTTTAAAATCTCCTCCATGTCTCTATTCTAGAGACCTCAATATCAAATTTGAAAATTTTAACCATATCCCTTCACCCACTACCAAATTTTGTACCATTTAGTACTTTTCGGTCTAAAGGACTCATTTCCGTAACTGCCCATATATGTCCAGGATACATATGAACAGCGACCCTAATACAAAAATTCAGATTCTAAGCACTATAGTTTCAACGTTTGCCAAATTATACTAAATATAGTACAGGGTTGCCCATATACGACGGACGCATCTGGCAACGCCATAACAAAAAAATTTCGACTGGTAAGGCTCTTTCTAATCCGAAGAGACCATATAAAAGTCGACCAAGGCGATCGGCCGAGAATATCGCTGCCGTACGAGCCAGTGTTGAGAGGTCCCCAAGAACATCCCAAAACGCCGTTCTCAGCAGTTGGGCATGGCTCAGGCCACTTTACAACGGATTATTCGCATTGATTTGCATTTGTTCGCGTAAAAAAATTCAATTGACGCAAAGAATGTTGCCTGCGGACAAGCCTCGTCGATTGGAATGGGTCCAAAGGTACGTCGAATATGGGCAACCTTGTATACAGGCCCACGATATCGTACAGGGTGAGATAAAAAACTGGAACAAAGTCAAACGCCATAATTTTTACATTTTTTTCTTAAATTTTATTGAATGAAAGCAAAAAATGTCGGAAATAGCACCAAATTTTAGAATTAGTTTGGATTTTTTCAAATTGGTCACCTTTGCCGCGAATTATGGCCTTCAAACGGCCAATGAAACCGCCCCACGCTGCCTGAATGTTGCTCTGCGGTATTTTGACCCATTCCCGGCAAAGCACTTGCTTGAGGTGATCGACACTTTGGTATCTTTTAGTGTCAGCCTTGCTTTCCAAAATACACTCCAGACACAATAGTCCAACGGATTGGTATCCGGAGATTTTAGTAGCCATTGTGCGCTGAAAATGAAGCGAGGAACCTCATTTTGTAACCATTCTTTGGAGGCGCGTGTTGAGTGCGATGGTGCTGAGTCCTGTTGGAATGTCCAAGGTCTGCGGCCAAAATGTTTGCGTGTCCAAGGCTTTAATACACCCCTTCAGAATATTCTGCTATAATATAATATTCGATAATATTCTGCATTGGCATTTATTCTGATTCCAATGTCGATTAATACGAGCGGAAAGCGACCATCGGCTGTTATGGCGGTCAACACCATCAGCATGGCCGGCGCTTGAGTTCTGATGGTAAACCGAAGGAGCACATTTTCAGTTGACCTCTTTGGCAAGCAAACACGATCATTTTGTTTGTTTACAAACTGGTGGACATCGAATATTTTCTCATCGGAGAAAACCAAATTCGGCAGTTCACCACTTTCGGCCAAGTGAAGCAACTCTTTAGCTCTTTTGAGTCTATTTTCTTTCTGTTGCGGAATCTGTTGTGTAAGTTCTTGCACTTTTTGGAATTTCAATGGCTTTACGCCGAGCTCATTTTTCAATATTTGCCGAATGGAATATTGCGATATTTTCAGCTCACGAGCCATTTTTCGGCCACTGCGACGCGGGTTTCGATCAAGTTGCTTCTTTACTTTTCGAACCATTTCTGCTGATGTTGCAGCTTTTTTCCGTCCACTTCCTTGACGTCGGGCTACGCTACCAGTATCACGGTAACGAGCGATGGTACGAGACACAAATTCACATTAAAATGCTGTAGAGCCCTCCAACAATAGCCACTTGTAGTTTTCCAGCCAAATATAAAGGAATCGCACCATCACGCTTGAATTCCATCACGAATAACTTTTTTTCTGTAAAATTCTCACCAAAATGCTTTTGTAGGCTTGTGAAGAATTTAATGAGCTGTCACTGGAATAATTTTAACAGCTGTCGGACGAGTGGCTTAGTAATGACAGCAGTCTGAAATTGGTTGCATTTTTTTCATCTGCAGCCTGTGACAAAAAATTACCTATGCAGGTCCAGGTCTTCGTATAACTCGGATATATCAGTTCCTCCCTATATTCAGTATTCCGATAATGTTAGCTACATGATTCACCGGATTGTAATGGCTTAAGACAAAAGTTGCATATGCAGGTCCACGTCTTCGTATAGACCCCAATATAACGGCTATATTCGGATTTTATTTTTTCTCTTTTTTTTTTTGAAAATTCCAAAATTCGTTTCAAATGGTGGACGTTATTCAAAGTTCGGATCGACCGAGCTTACTGCTTATTGTACTTGTTTGAATTGGGTTATTTAAATTTTTTTATAATAATTATTTAAACTTATTAATGCAATAAGCCTTTGAAGGGCGGTTCAACAACCTCCCCTCAAAAATATTC